GTATTTCTGTTTGAGCGGTCATTCTCGTGCTCGAGCAGAGATCACGACCTTTCAGAAGTTTCACTTGCCTGTAAAAGTACTGGGAGTTGTTTTTTTCCGCTCAAGCAGTCATTCTTTTGATGGAGCGGAAATCGCGGCCCTGTTTTCTATAAATATGTGTTTCAGTCCGATTTTAGGGTACGGCTTCCAAATCTTCTTTTTGGATATTAAGGTTTTCTTTTGGAGCTTCTTTGCTTGTTTCCTTTGATATTTGTGAGAGTCTCAATCATGAATTGAGTGGATTATATCAAAGGGTTTGTTTATTTTATTTATTCAATACAAAAGAGAAAGTTGTTCTTCGGTGGATTCTAGGGAATTTGGGCCTGAAACTTTGGTGGATTTTGAAGTGGCTAATTATCGCGGATTCAACATTAGCGTCGTGGATTCAACGTTGGGCAAGACTATTCCGAGGTGAAGACGAGGCTGGAAGAGGTACATAGAGGTCGGTTCGATTCGATTCGATTCGGGCGTGAATTTACTAGGTAATTGAGAGTACACTTGTGTAATTCCTTTGTGTCTTCTTAGTGGATTGTTTTGTGGTTTTGGCCCGTGATTTTTTATCACAATTGGAGGCACTCCAATTGTGAACTTTTCACGTTAAAATCGTTGTGTCCATTTGTCTTAATTGTTTGATTAGAATTGTTATTTACTACTTAAAATTGATACATAATCACAAATCAATACCTTGAATTTTTTTTTTATAATAAATGTTTTATTATAAATAAATAAATCACAAAATGTCATATCATTTTATATAAAAATTATATATATATATATATATATATAATTTTTATATAAAATGATATGACTCGTGGATTCAACATCAGCGTCGTGGATTCAACGTTGGGCAAGACTATTCCGAGGTGAAAACGAGGCTGGAAGAGGTACATAGAGGTCGATTCGATTCGATTCGAGCGTGGATTTACTAGGTAATTGAGAGTACACTTGTGTAATTCCTTTGTGTCTTCTTAGTGGATTGTTTTGTGGTTTTGGCCAGTGACTTTTTATCACAATTGGAGGCACTCCAATTGTGAACTTTTCACGTTAAAATCGTTGTGTCCATTTGTCTTAATTGTTTGATTAGAATTGTTATTTACTACTTAAAATTGATACATAATCACAAATCAATACCTTGAATTTTTTTTTTATAATAAATGTTTTATTATAAATAAATAAATCACAAAATGTCATATCATTTTATATAAAAATTATATATATATATATATATATATAATTTTTGTGATAAACTTTTAAAATTTGTTAATAAGTGTAGCCTTTTTATGGAGATTCTCCAGTACTAAGCCATCAAATTGAAACAGCCAAACCAAAAAAATTACACAACGAAAATAGCAAGAGTGGAACGACCACTTTGAGTGATTTCAGCCAAAATAGCTGTTTGGCGACTAAAATAAACTAATTTAACGTATTGTTTACTATATAGTTTTCAATAAAATACACACCACGTGTGGCCATTGGCTAGTGCTTATACATTGTACAGTCACATACAAATATAAAATAAAATAAAAAGTATACACTAATTGTTTAGAACAAATAAAAGAGTGTAGCACAAGAATCTAAAAAGAATGCGTGGTGTGTTATTATCAGTGGTTGGTTGCATTGGCCAAATAGGGACCACAAGCTTAACCAAATCATCACCATGAGTTTCATCATAATTGTGATTAAAGAAAAAAAAGTTTAGATTGATACCAAGAGTAAAACAAGTCACTACCTACATTAAAAAGAAAGTTAAGATACTCTCTTATCTCATAAGCACCCTGGTGACATGACCATAAATTGTCAAAGCATCAACAACTACATGAAGAGCACAATACATTTTTTTTTTTTTTTGAGAAATTCATATTTAAATAAATTAAAATATATATATATATATATAAAAAAAAAGAGATTTGACTTCCCTTTAAAAGAAGTGTAGTTCAATCAAGTTGGGATGATAATGACTAGGCAAATGAGTTGGACCTCCAGCATCCCCACTATTTTGTGATTGGCTTAAATTTTTTTTTTATTTTTTTCTGTCTGCAAGTCACAACCCCCACGTAGAGGTGGGGGTGCTGGGGGTCTTCTGGGAGCCCCCAGCAGGACTATAATGGCTACTATGAATTTCATGGATTATGCTACAGACCCCCAGTGGAGGTCGACCCCCAGTGGAGGTCAACCCCCAGTGACGTGGCACACTAGGGTTGGTCGAAAATCAAAAAAAAAAAAAGTGTTTTTTGGGCCAATAGGAGCCGACCCCAGCACCCCCAGCTGGGGGTCTAAGGCATTTTTGGAATTTCATTTGACTAATTAGAGGCACATACTTTTGTCATGAGTTTCATCATTGTGATTAAAGAAAAAAAGTTTAGAATGATACCAAGAGTAAAAGAAAGTTATGATACTCTCTTATCTCATAAGCACCCTTGTGACATGACCACAAAATGTCAAAACACCAACAACTACATGAAGAGCACAATACATTTTTTTTGTATGAGAAGTTGGGATACTTCATATTTAAATAAATTAAAATTAACAAAAAAAAGAAGAAGATTGGCTTCCATACAAAAGAAGTGCAGTTCTATCAAGTTGGGACTGTGATGCCTACTATGAAATTCATTTTATTAATCATAGGCACTTATTTTAATTAGATTTATCTTTAAGAAATAGACAGGTATAATTATAAGGTTTTGTGTAGTTGTGACTAAAAAGTCAGCTTGTATTAGCTATAAAAATTTTCATTTTGCTAAAAAAAACTTATACTCATTGAGCAGATTCATTTTTTGCACAAAAAAAAATCCACTTTAGTCACTTTAAACAACTATTAAAAAATTAAACTATGTCAAACTAATTAACTTTTTTACTATTACCTTTTTTGTAAGTTTATTTTTAGTCAATTAACTAGTTTAATATGATCATTCTAGCAGTGCTAAAAAAAAGTTACAATCACCTTACTTGTTTTCACTTTTCAAAAAACACTTTTTAAAAAATTCTACTTTCTTATTTTTTATGTTTTTTTGTTTTTATTGAATTTTTTTAATATTTTAAGCAATTTTTTTACTTTTTAGACGCACCTAACATAAATACACCTAAAAAGTAAAAAAATTATAATTTTTTTTTAAAAAAAATTTACTAAACACCAAAAATATAAAAAAAAAAATACAAGAATTCAGTATATTTTTATGTATTTATTAATTTTTTAAAATATTTTTTCACAATTTTTTTACTTTTTAGATACATCTAAGTAAGGTGTATCTAAAAAAGTAAAAAATATGTTTAAAATTAAAAAAATATTTATTAAAAACAAAAAAAAAACACAAAAATTAAAAAAATTAATTTTAAAAAAACTTAATCTAAAAAATTCAAACTAAACACACTGAATAATATTCATGTCAGTCTTGTTGTCACTCACTCCACTATTATGACTAATCCTATGTCGCAACTTGCTATAAAAAAAAGTTTCAAGTGGAGTGGTCCAAGGGGAGGGTTGATGAATGCTTCCAAAAACCTAGCTGTGCCTTTTTTTTATCTACTATAAAAATTGGCTGTATTGTATTCAATCTTTTCTGTTCCTTTTTCATCTTGATATTGCTGGAAAGTCTAATGTTGTATTTGGTTGGAAGATTTATGGAGAGATTTAGAAAGGAAAAAGGAAAAGGTGTGTGAAATTAGGTGAAATTTAAGTATATTTTATTTATATTTCACCTAATTTTTTTATTTTCCTTTCCAAATCATTCCTCAAATCCCTCAACCAAACACAGCGTAAGTTTGAGTACCAAAATTACGTAAGCCAAAGAATGGGTTAGATAGGCACCAGAGATAAGGCAAGAAATACATTGGCCACAAAAATTAAGATACAAAAATAAAAGGATATACCAATTGCCATTGCTATCAATAGCCGTTCCAATGTTTGCTTCAAGTCCAAACCATATGCCATTTTCACATTTGTTGCAATTATTATTTTTTTTAAAAATGCTTGAGGTTTGTTCGTTTGTATTAGCGAGCCAAATTTAAGCTACCGTGTCGAGGTTGAGTGAATTGAATTTCAACTTGAATAGGCTTATGAATAGAAAAACATATAAATTAATATTTATTTTTAATTATATACCAACTATTTTTTGTTAATTTATTTATTTCTTTGTTTATTTTTTTTATTTGTGAAAACTTACATATTTGACTAATAAAGATTATTATTTATATTTTGCTCATAATTCTTTTTTTCCCTGTTAATATAGATATTAAATTAAATTTGATTATTTTCAAATTTAAGCTAAAGCTCAAGGTCACCTAATCAAGTATTTCAAATAATGAATAAGTTAAGTTTGTGTTCAATTCTTTAAACATTCTAACTTAATTAATTTTCACCAACTCAGACTCGAACATCTTAAAACTCAAAAAAATTACAAAACAAAAAGTCTTCCCCAATTTCAAGTTAAATCTTAAAATTTTAATTATCAATCATTTTTGTGAAGTATTATTATTCAAGGTCTACAAATAGAAAAATTATTTCATACCCTCTGTGATATTGGCACAAATAAATTCAAATCATTCACTTGTGTGGACTATAAAAATCTCATACAAATGAATAATTTAAATTGAATTGTGACAATGCCACATTAATACCTTTTGGAACAATGAATAATCGCTCCTACAAATAAAACACAACTATCACATGGATTGGGACAACCCTGACAATGGCCCAGACACCTTAATAACTTCTCTGGCACTTGCTAATACATGGCCCATGGGTGGGCAACATGCATCCGATGTGTCAAGATCGAATGGTGTAAATAATTTCAATGATCCGAACAAATAAATATGAATCTATTTTTCTTAATATATTTAAATTTAGATGAACGACAAAAAAAAAAAAAAAAAAAAGTGTGTGTGCCCGACCGACCCGAATCCAATCGGTAACCAATCGCTAGCTAGCACACTATCACATTTCCCTCAACTCTCTCTCACCTCTGTGGTCACTTCTGTAAAACCGCAGACCAACTTTCATGTCCTCTCTCTCTCTCTCTCTCTATGTAGATTCCCTTTTTTACATTTGCTGTTTACCAAACACACATCTCTCTCTCTCTCTCTTTCATATATATTATCTTGCATTTTTCTCTCCACAAATTGTTGTGCTGCGTGTTCTTCTGGAAGTGCTTGTCGGTAGGAGCAACATCTCATGCATATATTATTATTTCCACAATGTCATTAATGCTTTCTTCAATGTTTCTCTCAGATTTTCAATTTTGTGTTCAGAGTGGGCTTTTCCGCTGCATTTGAAGCCTTCGTCAGTTTGTCTCTGTTTTGGAGATCCATGACAGAGTAAGATATTGGGGCCAAACAACCAAAGGTGAGTATAGAGTCACGACTTCTTCTTTGGATAAGTTTGTAGTTTTGTTTTCTGTTGAATTTTACATGCAATTTTGCTTCTCTGGTTGAATTTTGATGTCAGTTTGTCAACACATTGCTCTACTGGTCATAAAATTCAATTCAAGCAATGCTAGGTATCATGAAAAGTCTTTCATGAAAATGGTCATGAAAGATTTGTAACCTTTGGATTACACTTACAATAAAACACCACACACAAATCAAGATAATCTAAGAGTCACAAATTTTTCATGATCCTTTTCATGACAAAATTTTCATGATCTCTAACATTTCTCAATTCAATTATATTCCTCCTTTTTCTTTTTCTCTTTTTGTTTCTGTTTTAATCTCTTGTTCATCCTTGTGAGATTTTATTTTATTTTTTTGGTTGAATTAAAAGTCTGCATAGTTGCAAATGTAGAAGCAATAATTAATTTTTGACAGTTATATACGTCTTATTATCACAGATTTATCTTGACATTTTCATCTCAAGTACACTCACTTTAAACTATGGTCCTTGATGGATTGAGGTGAAGGCATTGTTGATAAAGAAACAGTTTTTTTTTTTTTTCATACAAAAAACTTTGTTAAAATGACCCGTGGATATATTTTCTAGTACAGCATATGATATGATCAACAGTTTCTTCCATTTTAGATCCCAACCTGATGTTCAGCTTGTGCAATTTTGTAGATTTTTCATTTAAAGTTTCTCCAATTTTTTAGACAAATATACTTGATGACATGATGGATCACAAGTCATGGCTGTGGAAGAAAAAATCCACCGAGAAGACCATTGTTGCGGCTGATACAGTAAACCTTTCACAAGGAGGAAATGCAGAGGAGGTAAATGAAGCATGATTTGTTCAATCTTTGTTTTCTTTTATTTCTTATTTATTTATTTCTGTGTAAAATCAGTTCACCTGCTCTCTTGTATTTTGTGTCTTTTAAGGAAACTATTAACGTAACTTTTCCATGAGAAGTAATTGCATTAAAGAATGTGCTCATTTGAATTGTGAAAATGATGATTGTTTAAGTTGATTTCAAATTAAATTTATAACCAAGGGTCATTTTATGTACTTTTATTGCTAATATTTGGTTCTTTAGATACAGACACTTCTGAAAGATAAAGGAGAGTTGGAAAGAGATCTGAAAATTTTAAATGAAAAGCTTTCCTCTGCCCTCTCTGAATGCAACGCTAAAGATGATCTAGTGGAAAAACATGCAAAAATGGCACAGGAAGCCCTTGCAGGTAATTTATTGTAAATTTATAATTTATATGTTTATGTTGTTCAGGTGTGCCAATCATCATATGAATGTGCTTCTTTCAAAATCTATGTTGTTTGACAAGTTTCCATATTCTTTAAATAAAATTTATTATGTAGGCTTGGAGAAAGCAGAAGTGGAAGCAATGTCGTTGAAGCAAGAATTAGATGAAGTTTTACAGCAGAGAGTCGCAGGTGAAGAGAGGCTAACTCATTTGGATATGGCATTGAAGGAATGTACCCAGCAGTTACGTTTTGTTCGAGAAGAGCAGGAGCAAAGGATTCATGATGCTGTGACGAAGACATCGAGAGAATTTGAAAAAGCAAGGAATGTTTTAGAGGACAAGTTGGCTGATGCAAATAAAAGGCTCACAAAATTAGGTGCAGAGAGTGCTCAGCTCAGTAAGGCTCTCTTATCAAAGGAAAAGTTGATTCAAGAAATGGAAGAATGTAGAACCAAAGCCGATGCAGATTTTAATGCCCTGATGATGAGATTGGAATCCTCGGAGAAAGATAATGCTTCTCTAAAATATGAGGTCCGAGTGCTTGAGAAGGAGCTTGAGATTCGGAATGAGGAGAGAGAATTTAACCGGCGAACATCTGATTTAGCACACAAGCAACACCTAGAGAGTGCGAAAAAAATTGCAAAGTTGGAATCAGAATGTCAGAGACTACGCATGCTTGTACGTAAACGGTTGCCGGGTCCAGCTGCTCTGGCGAAAATGAAGAATGAAGTTGGAATGCTGGGCAGAGATCCAGCTGAAGCAAGGTGGAGAAAGTCAAATCCTTCTCCTACGATGGACTTTGCTTTCGACAACGCTCCTGATACACCTAACAGAAAGATCAATTTTTTGACTGAACAGTTGTGTGCCATGGACGAAGAAAATAGGAATCTCAAAGAAACTCTTGACAAAAAAGCTAACGAACTCCAGGTTTCTAGAATCATGTATGATCGAACTGCATCCAAATTGTCACAAGTTGAGGCACAGCTTGAAGAACCAGTAAGAGATATACATATACCACATGAACTCTCTATGGCTTCGATGTCTGACATGGGCAGTGATGACAAGGTTAGTTGTGCTGAATCTTGGGCTTCTGCTTTGATTTCAGAGTTGGAGCATTTCAGAAATGGAAAAACTGTTGGGGCTTCAGGCATTGATCTGATGGATGACTTTGTCGAGATGGAAAAATTAGCAATAGTATCCACAGATAAGCCATTTGGAAGTTCTCGTCTTGCATCAGTCGAAGAGCACGAAATTGTTGGTCCAGTGGAAATTGAGTCACACGGTGATTCGTTAGCAGCAGCCGGTAGGGAGATAGTTTTGTTACCAGAATCTGGATTAGGCATTGGTGTCCTAAACAAGGACATCCAGTCTAAAAATATGTTGATTGGTAAACTTCCTAGTTGGCTTCAGGATGTACTGAAAGTAGTCCTGGAACAAAACCGTGTCACGCGGAGAAAGCACGAAGAAATACTGGAAGATATTAAAGTTGCTTTGCAATATATTAACCCTACAAATTCCAGTGCATTTGTTGATGCAAATGAAAGCTCAAATCATTTTAATGCATCAAATCATTCTGATATTGGTGGCTACATCTCTCAGGAAGCTCCAGCTAAATCTCCATTGATGGAATCAGCTAATAGAATAAAGGGTGATGAAACACAAAGTGAGAGCAAGGTAGAAGGTGGAACAAGTCAATTTTCTGAAGCAGATAAGGTACGGACTCCCAAAGAACAGTTGTCATATCTGCCCATTGTTTCTGCTTGGAATGAAGGCAAATTGGAAGAAATTCAGCCTAAAGTGAGAGAAGAATGTAAAAAGCTGAAAGATGAGATGGCAAATATGGAATCTGCAAACAAGGACTTGGAAGAGAGACTCCAGACACAGGTTGATAAGAGTGAGTCTTTGATGTTTCGGCTTCAAGAATCAGAAAAAACTATCAGAAGCTTGCAATCAGAGTTGGAAAGATTAAAAGAATCTGAGGACATGAATGAGAATCAAATTGAGAATCATAAGTTGGTTGTTGAAGATCTTGATGCACAGCTGACAGTTGCCAGAGCTGAATTGAACGATGCCCGCCAAAAGCTTTCATCTCTAGAATCAGAACTGGAGAATAAAAACAACTGCTGTGAAGAATTGGAGGCCTCATGTCTTGGCCTACAGCTTCAGCTAGAAAGGTACGCTTTCATTTCATGGAAAGATCTTTTCTTTTTCTTTTTTTCTTTTTTTTTTTTGTCTCCTCTCAAATATCTGAAATATTTCATTTTCAGTTTCACAAAGAAGGAAATCCCGGATCAAGAAGAAAAGCAACTTCGAACTGTAAGTTTCAATCATCTTAAACATCTGACATATGTATAGAATGAGAAATGATATGAGACCAAGGTCTTCGTGATTACATCCTATATATTTGTGGTATTACATTCTGGTAGATTGATGATAATTGAAGCATTACATGTGGGATTTTTTGCTACTTCCATGGAACTTTCACTGTATCACATTGACAATCGGTAGATACAACCGTATATTTGTTTCTGAAAGTCTTATTTTATTTTTTTTCTAGTGATTGAGGTATGAATATAAGAACGGTTTTAAAACAGAGAAACTGATATTCTACCTTGTAGGACTGGGAAATCACAGCAGCTTCTGAAAAGTTAGCAGAATGCCAAGAGACCATCCTGAACCTGGGGAAGCAGTTGAAGGCATTGGCTTCACCAAGAGAAGCAGCCCTTTTTGACAAGCTCGTCTCCAACCCATCGGACAATATTACAACAACAACCACCACTCCCACAAAGATCATCAAACAGCGGTCCTCTCTGCTGGAAAAAATGCTGGCCGAGGATAATGTTGAATCCGGAGACCTTAAGTTTCCAAAGACAATGGAAGTTATTTGCCTTTCAAGCCCTCAAAATTCTCCTGGTCTTCTGGACCCGAATGGAACGCCAGATCATCAACAAAGTTTTCTTCACATAAATGGGACAAAACACAATTACAATGAAACTGTAAGTGGTTCTTTGGCTATTGTGCCTGCCAAGAAAAACAGAGGTGGGGGACTGCTGAAAAAGCTATTTTTGAGAAGAAAGAAAGGTAATAGCAAAAAGGTAACAGTTCGAATTGCTGCATAACAACTGCGATGAAGCGGAAATAAGGTGACTCGGGATTTGGTTGTGATGGTCATGATTGATTGATTTGTTGCTTGCTTGGAGTGAAAAATAGTAGTTTGGTATCTTTTAATCAGATAGAGAGAGGGTACAAGGAATCGTGCATCATTTTTGTGTGTACCGTTGTTGTATTCTGTAAATGAAACCAAAAGGATTGAGAATTTAATGTGAAATGAAAATCTTTAATTTTATATACATGTCCTGTTTAAAGATTCATTGGCAAAATGGACAGTCTGGTATGATCACATCATTCTATTTTCACAGTTGTTATTAACACTAATCAGTGTAGCTTTTGACAGCGAGAAATTTAAAGAGGGCTAAATTTTTTATAAAAAAAATTAATATTAATTCCTGCGAATAATTCATGTTTACTGGTCAAAGCAACCCAAAAATAAAAAAAATATAAAAAAATAAAAATAAACCTACATAATACAAAATTGGAAATGTATGAATATTTCAAACCTCCCCAAAGTCGAATTCAATACTCAATCCTTGTATAGTACAAATTTTGATATGTCATATAGCCCGGCATCCTTGTAACACTCGGCAATTCTCTCCACAAAGTCGTCCCACGTTCCTTCAACAGAAGCTAAATCTAACAAAAAAGCGGCTTCATCCAATGCGATCTGCAAAAATAAAAATAAATTTTTTTTAAAAAATGAAAGTGATGAGGGAGGGGAGTTCATGTACCAGTGGACTATTTGCATCAAATCTAAAAATATAGACGAAGGAATGAATTAGCAAATTGCAAACCTGAGCAGGTTCCTTTCCCTTCTTCAGATCTTCTTGCCTTCCCTCGTCCGACACCTTCTCTTTAATGTACTCGATTTGTTCATCCTCCCATTGAGCAATATCGGCAACTTCCTGAATAGGACTCAAAGAAAGCAATATAATCAGTGTCTGCAGAAAAAGAACTACCATAATAGAGAGGCAAACAGAGGATACAAGGACACAATCATCATTTAAGGAGCTGGACCTTGTATCTACAACCTAAAGTCCACCATGGTGATTTCAAAGCTCCCCTTGCAGCATCTTTAGCTTCTATCTTACGACCAACCCTGTTTTTTAAATATAAAAAATAAAAAATAAAACTAAAAAGTTAAAGAACACTGAAATAATGTTGATTGAAAATTATGCACCAAATTCTTGGAAGTAGTAGTGAGGGAAGATTTCTACAAACTTCAGCAAAATCTTGGCATTAAATACAAAAGGCCGTCCAAACCCCGGAAAATGCTCTTTCTTTGTATAAAACTCCCCAGTTACCATGGCCGAAACCTTCCACCAAGAAAATATAAATAATTAATAATGCAAACACCCAAAACTCGCATTGTTCAACGACATCAACACTAGAAAGGGTTACTCTTACATGGTCCCCCTTTTCAAAATGATGCATCACTCTGCGTTCTAATATATCAGGAAACAGGCCAACCTGAAAACAAACTGTTTACTTTGGCAGTTCATCAAGACAGCCAACATGCGAATACCAGTAGAATTCTACTTGGTACCTTTTTCAGAAGATATACATCTAGATTCGAAATCTGAGATGCAACAAAGTCACCCTTCTTATAAATTTTCTCCCCAGCGTCAGCTGCAGCATGAAATAGCACATTGTCACTTTCCTTGGAATTCTTGGCATCTTCTTCAACCAGGATTCTATGAATATATTGGTCTACCTGCATTTGGATCAGAAGGCAAATGTTTACGTGGTATAAGTAGTGCCAAGTAAAGTTACGCAGATGCTCCAACAACAGAAGCCAGTCACATCCAACTTACATTCTTGGCTAAAAGCCACACTCCATGCTTACAAATCTCCACCACTGGTATATCCATCCTGTATGCATCAGAAATGATATATCAAGCGAAATAAAGATTCTAATAAGAAAAATAGTTGGCAGTTTTTGAGTTTTATACCCGGGTGGAGCCGTTGGCCATCGCAGCAGTGCAGTTACAGAACCTATAAAAAAGAGAAACATTTTTTTATCCTGTAAGTTACAAATAAGAAAATCATAAAGAAAGATAGAAGAACACAAGCAATTAAAGATTCCTTAAGAGGAACTGATTTCAAATATAATTGTTATCCAAACCTGAGTTGCTTTTTGAAAGAGGAATAGCCAGAGGTATCAACCCTTGCTTGGCTCCAGGAGAAATTATAGGTTCACCTGTCGCAAGATGACAGATATGATGGGAACTATGTAAGGACTCCAATAGACTTGTAACACTAACAAAACTAGTAAACTACAAATAAATTATTCCGTATTATTGGTTTTATTGTTAGCACATTTGTCTAGCTAGGTTTGATTATCCCTACAAAGCCTATTTGAATTGTATTTCAAAATCCCAGTTCAGTCATGTCAGGAAGTTGAATTATGTTTTGGCTTAAATATTTTATTTTTTTGCAATCAAGCAAGCCAAATATGTCAATGTACAAATATACAAAGCAGTCGAATGCTATTAGCATCAAAGTATTAAAGTTGGTAAAGACAAAATTGGTTTCTCTTACCTCAAAACCAACACATAAAAGTTGGAAGACTTCAATTCATTCAAGACAAAGGTTTTCGTTTGCCTCGTCTCGAGTTTCATGCAAAGACTATAATGAATTGAAATTGGATTTTGGCTTTAGTCGAACATGGACTTGCAGCCTTCACCTACCTCACCTCGTCCATCTTAGCCCCAAGCCTCGGGGGTCTGGGCACTTGGATCAGGGTCACCACATTTTCATTTTCTATTTCACTCTTAGCATGGGGAATACATGGACTGTAGAGGTACTCCTAATTAAGTTGAGGAATTAAAGTATATCAATTGCTTTCTAGGTTGTTTTGTGAAGCTTCTTTAACTATTTAAAATAAAAATATCTTCAGTTTAAAACATGTTCAGTGCAATGATTCCACCTCACAGTTGAGAGTTCATTCAACACCTTACCTCTCACCTGAAGCATTTTCAAAAGATGAGGCAAATGATCCGGTGGTTGAGTTGCAGCTACATCTTTTATAAATGACACATGGTCTGCATTTTCAAAAGCACAAAGCAAGGTTTTCATTAATAATTAGTACCAGGGTATTCACAAATGAAATCTCAGCAGTAGTTATTGAATTTTATGTATTCATTTTTTGAAAGTAACAGAGTATATATAAATCAGTTGTATCCTAACTAAACTAACCTAACCTAACAACTACTAACCACATTCTAATTAACAATGTAGTTAAAACTGTAACAATTATCATTCCCAAATAACTTTTGGTTTTTTGGTTACACAGACTTCCTTATCCTCATTTGCATTTGATACTAACAGTGTCAAATAAACCAGACCAGCAAAATCTCACTGACCATCAACAGGCCACTTATTCAAAATAAAAGCCATCAAACATTTTTTTAATAATTACAGTAGCACCCATGTTCCAGCCTCACCTACATGCATACATACATACATACATATATATATAGACAGTAGCAAACTTTAAATAATACAATTCCAACTCCTAAAGCAATTAAGCCTGGCAATCAAAAACAACAACTCCTATGGCATTTAAATAAGTATGTAGGCTTGTGTTCCAATTGAAACCATCGGCGATAAATTAGCTCATTAATTGAAACTCAAATCAGTTGATTCGGCATAAATCCGAACAAATAATACACATATGAACGCCTTTTTCTTTTTCTTTTTCTTTTGCATCTTTATCCTACAAGAAACTGCAAATCTATAAATCTATGCTATATACAAGTGAAGAGTTGAACCAGCAGATGAAGAAGAGTAGCATCGGAATGTTGCTCCGCGGCAGCGGCCGAAAAGTAGGGTGGGTAAAGCGGCGGCGCGTGGACATCCGGCGACCACTCCACTGCCCGCCCTCATCGAAGTGTAGCTCTAGTAGTGGCTTCTACTTTAGCCGCCAAGGTTTTTCTTACAGAATGCGGATAATGGATGGGCCTAATTGCCCAACATTTTAGATGGGCCCAATACGAAGACGTGTCCATTCTAGAGTGGTTCATGAAAAAAACCCAATCTGGGCGAGCTTACTAGTTTGTGCTTATGGTTTTACATTTTAATTAGGTGCAATGTTGGGGGGAAATATGTATATATTATTTATTTACGTTATTATTTTAATTGTTATATTTTGTAAAATAAATAAATTTTTGTTGTTAATTATAATTGCAGGTTGAAACATATATCACTCTTTGAGCTATATAATTGAATGTCACTTTAATTATAGTCAAAGCACATCAACACAAATTCAGACATAATAACACTCAAAAACTCATAATTTATAATAATTTAAATATAAAAAATGATTGACACACCGAATTTAAACTTGTCTGAATTATAGAAGTCAGACGTCTGATCAAACGGCTAATGTCACCAAGGATGGAGCTATCGTGGGATTAGGAGGGCATGTGCCCCTAAAGTGTTGATAATTATATTAGTATCCCTCTGTATAGATTATACTATATATATCTTTCTTAAAATTATAATAATATGTCTTCTTAAAATTATAATAGTGCCCCTTTATTATAAATTTTCTTTCTAAAATTGTAATAGTGTCTCTCTTCAATTATAACAAAAATAACAACCATAATAAGTTATAACTAAGTTATATTCAACACCACAATCTGTCATAGTTAAAAATCATAAATATCATAATTGCGGTATATGATAGACACTTTTTAATTTTTTTTTTTTTTTTACAATCTACCTAAAATAGGTACTCCCCAATATTTGTATAAAATTTAACCTCAATTCCTTTAATTTAAAATTCACATTCATCCAAATAGACTTTTAATACTTAAGTTTAGTAATATCTCATTGTTATTTATTACAAGGGAAAAAATCAATGTTGTTGTTAATTTGTACCTTCCCTTCGCTAAATCCCTACCTTTGCTAGTGGGCGTCACCCTTATCAACCGTGATTGTCACCCTTATCAATTGCGGTTGTCACTCTTGTCAATCGCGACTGTCAACTTTGTCTACTGGTGTATCAACTGGCATCCGTCCGAATGACCTGTCGGATGACCAACATGCATAAATTTAAGTAATTCAGACGAGCCAAAATTCGATGGATGTAACAATACTTTATTCTCAAACATTTTATGACACCAATTAAAAAATGTGTAATTATAGATGGCTAAATGGGTGGTAACTGTCATAATCTTAGGCCACCTTTTGGTATCCTCACGGCCACCACGTCACCTTCGACAACATTTAACCATTAACTCTAATGGACACCTCTAGCCACTAGGGATGGCAACGGGCGGGGTGCGGAACCGGGGATTACACTCCCAGTCCCCTGATCTCTGATGATGAAAATTTCTCCGTCCCCGACCCCAATTCCCGACGAATAACCTATCATCGTCCCCGTCCCAACCCCCTAACGGGGATTGGGTTTTCCCGACCTCGAAAATTCCCTGGCTAGAAAAAAAAAGAAAAGAAAAAAAGATCAACTACCAAAATCATCAACAGATCAACATCATCAACAAAATCATCAATAATATCATCAAATAGATCTGAGAGAGATGAAAGAGACAGTGAGATTTTTGTAATTTGTTCAAACACAAAAAATAGATAAACAAAAACAAAATCAAAAAAATAATCTGTTTAACACAGATCTGAAGATAGAGAAACAAAGAGGAACATAGAGAGAGAGAAAGAGGAACATCGGTGATGATGGTCAGATTCAAGTTCAAATCTAGGCAAGTCCAACTCAAATTTGGCCAGTCTAACTCATATTCGTCTTCATCGCCGCTACTACTGGTCAAAGAACGAGATGACACTGACAATGGTGTCACTACGGAGAGAAGAGAGAGAGTAGAGCGTGGAGGAGAAGGCGACGGTGGTGACTGCGTCGCTCGTTGCGAAGAGAATAGAGAGAGTAGAGAGAAAAGAGAGAGACCGCTGGTGTGTTTGTGTCCTATGATTGTGAACCCTAACCAACATACACATATATAGAGAGAGGGGTAAAATAGTAATTTTATTTCGAAGACAAACGAGGTTGGTGACTGGTTCAGAGACATGTCGGGTTCGGGACTGAAGCCAGGGCTTGGACATTTATTACTATCCTTGACCCGAAACTAATTAGAGATTAATTTTTGAATACCATCCCCGCCCCGTCGGGAGTATTTTGGAGGAAAAAACCGCTTAAATCAGGGTCAGGAGGCCCCCGTCGAGTTGGTTTCAAATTGCCACCCCTACCAACCACCGATTATTGCTAATCATTACATCCATTCACCCTCTATCTCTGGCCACTTACTTCAAGTTACTCATCAAATATATTTATCTATTCTTATTTATATTTATTTTCAATATATTTTTATACAGCAAAAAAGTTTTATTTTTTGTTTTTTATGAAATGAACCGATTCATTTTTTATGAGCTAAAAATAAAAAACGTCAACAAGCAAACCCTTAGGAATTTATGGGCAATTGTCTGAAAAAGTTCAGTGCCCTTCAAAAATTTTTTTACTCTGTGATGGTGTCAAAAACACTGCAGGTATGAAATTTGGAGAATTACAAGTGAGAATATGGCAAAAATTTATAAAAAAGTGATTGATATTATAAATATTAATAATTAATTTATCTATTTCTTTGTAAATATTTCTTGAATTTAACACTGTGTAAAATAAAAAGAAAAAAAAGAAAATCTTTGACAGATCCCACCGTCATTTGTGTGCAACAGTCTACAGTCCAAACAAGGAAAACGAGTCCGGATCCTCTCCAGCCAACCTCTCCAGCCATTCCTCCTGTCAATGGCCAAGATTTGGCCACATCACTTTGGCTGAAGACGACGGCTCAAATCAAGTTTGGTTAAAAAAAATATATATTTTTTAATTTTTTTTTCTTTCACCATAGCAACAGAGCGTTCGGCTTGCAGAGCTACTCCGGCATCCCATTCGGCCGGCGAAGCCATCTCTAGTGCCCTCTCAGCCTATGTCTTCTTCCTTTTCTCCTTTATTTCACCTCATTTCTTTCTCTCTCTTCAAACCCACAAACCTTCTCTCTCTAATCTGCAATCCATTAGAGAGATTGAAAATGCCAAAATTCAAACCGGAATATTCAAGTAAGAAATGAAGAGAAATGCTTTGATTTTCTTGAAGTCGTGCATGTCGATGATCTCCCAGACATTACAAGAGCATTGAAACCTAAATCATGAAACCCAGATCATTGAACCATGAACATGGAAACCTATATCATTGAACCCATCTCTGAATTGGTTGAGCATCAATTGAGCTCTAAACTGATTGGGTTGAGCTTCAATTGATATCTGATTGACCTTCGATTCAAATTTGAATCTAGATTTGTTCCACTGCTGCAAATCGTTTTTACCGCATCGGAAAGAGAAGCAAGAATGGTAGGGAGAAGCAAGAAACTTCTGCTTGGTGATGGTAGTTCGGCATCAGAATCGGCACGGCATTGGCATTTGCATTGGCATCGGCATCGGCATCGGCATCGGCATCGACAGTGCTCCTGTAAAGAGAGAGGAGAGTTTAGGGGAGAGAGAGAGATGAGAGTTTGACAGAGGGAAACTCTATTGCTGTGTTGAATTTTTTTTTTTTTTAACGAAACTTGATCTAAGCCGTCCTATTCAGCCAAAGTGACGTGGCCAAATCTTGGCCATTGACAGGAGGAATGGCTGGAGAGGTTGGCTGGAGAGGATCCGGACTCCCAATTTACTCCAAGGAGAAAGAAAAGCGGTTGTTATTTTCTTATTTCCTAATTCTTAGCTTTAGTTCATCTCCCAATATTGGGTTTCAATTCAACTCCGGCACCTCCAAATACCCTCCCTCTTGAATCCTCACAGAAGCTCTCGTTGTCTCGCATTACTCGTTGTATGTGTCTGATCTTCCATCGAACCTCCATTGCAAGCCATTCTCACTCTTCGCCTCCCACTCACCCTATGGTACCCTCTTTTGAGCTCCATATTTATATTTCCTTCAAAACATCTTCATCTATATATGTCTCTCTTTATATTTTTATTTTTATACTACAAGTTAGGATTGGTTCCTTTCTGTGAATAAGATTGTGAAGAGTCTAATTGGATTCAAATTTTGAAATCCGAAACAGTTTTCTGAGTTGTTGTAGAGAAATTTTAGTTTTCATGTTTGGCCTCAAAATTAAGAATCTGTTATATGTGGGACAAAATTGGCAACAAAAGTAACAGAGTTCACACCAACTAGGGTGTTCAAATTATATGTGCCAGTTTGGTAATTTGGCCTTTTTAGTGGCTTTTGTTTGTTTGTTTTTATGAGGTGAGAAAAGTTAGTGGGTTTAATGTTTGCTTTTTTTAGTTGATTAGATACCTGTGTCAGGGAAAAAGTAATTAACTGGTGTCTATAATGTGATTTTTTATTTTTTATTTTTTGTGAAACTACAAACTAAATGGGTATATTAGCGGTCGGGCACGCGATTAATATTATGAAAAGAAAGATATTTTTACGCAACTAGTTTTTTTAAACATGCGGAATTTTTAATGCACATATGATTCATAATTGTAGTTATGTGTAAACCAGGGGAAGTTATCACTTTTTACTGTTTTGGGTGTTACTATTTGGACAAATTACATTAATCGTCCTTATAGTTTGGGACTCGTGTCACTTTAGTCCATGACTTTTCAATTGTGACATATTTGATCCTGAATTTTGAATCTCGTTCTAAATAAGAATAATTGAAGATATCATTGCTTAATTTCAAGGGCAAAATGGTCAATTTGATAAAATATAAATTAATTTGACAAAAATAAATGTAAAAAAAATATTTTTTAATTTTTAAAAATTATTTCTATCCACCATTAATCTCTTAGACATTTATTATTATTTTTTTTGTACCAAATTAATTTTTATTATGTATTTGGATGATGATCATGTAATAGGTGGTTGTTAGGATCTTAACGTGTAATCTATATATTTAATATATAAAATGTTTTTACTTT